CGGAGGCTCCCCGAGTCCTGCAGGGCCTACAGGCCCCTCCAGTGCCACAGGCCTCTCGCAGATCTCACAGGTCCCACAGGCCCCACGGGTCGCACAGGCCCCCAGGTCCCACAGATGTCGCAGGTCTCAAGGGCCCCACAGGCCACAGAGATCCCCCAGGTCGCAGAGGTCCCCCAAGTTTCCCTGTGCCAGCTGCGGATGACACGATGGGGCCTTTTTGTTGGAGACGATGTTAGATATGGCGCGAGCGCATCTACCTTGACCATCCCTCTCGCCCTTCTCCCCTTTCTCCCTTTCCCCTCTTCGCCCTCGCTCCCTTTCCCCTCTTCGCCCTCGACTTTCTCTTCTCACCTTCATCTTCTGACCCTTTCGCCGTACACTTCTTCATTCCCGCTTCTCCCCCTCCCCATACCTCCTTCTCCTCCCCTCTCCAGTGGTGGGCGAAGGGACTCTCCCCGAGCCCCCTTCTCGCCAGCAGATCCCAGACGTTGGCCCGAAAGCGGCGGCGGACACACCCCAACGCACACGCGTGCGCGCGGAGAGAGGCATGGAGGGAGGCACTGGATCAGTTTAATCTCGCTTCACCTTCGTGAGCCCCAATTTTTCATAGCGTGGACCCCAGGAAATCCCGACCCCTTCCCCGGGACCGGCTCTTCCTCCCGGATCGCTTCTTGGCCCCAAGGCCCTGTGAGGCCCCCCAGAGGACGAACACGGGAACACATCTCCATCGTTTGTTCCTTCGCGACGCGCATAAGTCTGGGATCCACTGCGCCTCCTCTCCCCCCTCCTCTCCCTCCTCCTGCTCCCTGCCCTCCACACTCCTCCACTCGCCCCCTCCGTCCTCCTCCTCCTCCTCCTCCTCCTTTCCCCCCTCCTCCTCCTGTTTCTCGCCCCACCTGCGCATCCCTGCCTCTCCTCCTCCTCTCCTCGACCACCTCGCCCCTCCGCGCCCGCCTCGCGACCCGCCCCTCCTCGGGACCCCTCCTGCCCAGGCCCTGGCTCGTGACGCCCGGTGGGCCCCGCCGTTTCGAACCCTCTCCCCTGCCGGGGCCTCCTCTTATGTCGGGCGTGTCCCCCCACAGGGGGATTTTCGACGAAAAATGAAAAACAAATACCCCAAAGATGCACCAAAAAGGTAAACAACAAATACCCTACAAATAATCCCCGGACTATTTTTGGACCATTCTTTGGAACATTTTTGGGGCATGAAAAGAAACAATTCGGCGAAGATCCCCCTGTAGGAGGACAGGCCCGGCTTAAGCCTCCTCCTGGGCTGTCGGCCCCACGTCTCGGAGAGGACTGCGCGCCCCGTGCCCCTCCTCCGCGGGCCCGGGTGCCCCGCACGGGTGCTGCACCTCGCAGGGGGGCCACAGAGGACGTGCGCGCCCAGCTACTGTACAGGAACGCGGCCCCTCGATCCGCGACGCTGGCCGCGTGATGCGAACAGTCGGGCAGTGCGTACTCTCGAGACCAGCGTGGACTCGTCCTTCTTTCGCTCCTGAGCTTGGAAGCGGGCGATGGAGCAACCCAGCCTCGTGTGCAATGCAGGCGCGCAGTGTATACCACAACAAGCTGTAAGCTGAGAGATGCTAAGACACATGCATGCGGCAACAACACAGAGCAGAGGGTGTGGCAGAAATGGGGTGCGGTGCCAATCGCGGAAGTTCGATGTTATCTGCGGCAAAGAAACACAGCCAGATTCAGCGGTGGCACCACACCCCTTTACATCACACCCCTCTCCTACCTCCTACATGGGACTCTGCTGAATTTTGGAGGTCGGAGACGGGTGTGGCAGAAAGGGGTGTGGTGCCCAAATCGCGAAACTTTCGGTGTCACCTGCGATAGCAAAAACACCGCCAGATTCAGCGGTGGCACGACACCCCTTCACACCACACCCCTTTCCTACCTCCTACATGGAACTCTGCTGAATTTTGGAGGTCGGAAACGGGTGGGGCACAAAGGGGTGCGGTGGAAATCGCGGAAAAAAATCGGTGTCATCTGCAATAGAAGACACCGCCAGATCCAGCGGTGGCACCACGCCCCTCGACACCACACCCCTTTCCTACAGTCAACCAGCATGGTAAGGATGCGCGCTCAGGATGCCAGGGCCTTGGACGCCCATCCCGAAGCCTCTCGAGCGGGGCGCGGCCAGCGAAAGCGGCGAAGGATGGACCGAGGAGGCAAGGATGCAAGGGCACACTTGGGAAAGTTGCCCGTCCTTGTTGTGAGGTTCGACTGCACCTCCAGCTGCGCGGCGTTCAGACCTCGAGCGCCCGCGCCGGCGCCGCGTCGACTCCGTGCGCGCCTGCCGCGTCCCCCGATGTCCTCGCCGGCGTGTGCAGCTCGAAGCCCGCGGCCGCGGGCGGCTCTCCCTCCTCCCTCCTCCCTCCTCTCTCCTCTCCCCCCCTCCTCCCTCCTCTCTCTTCCCCTCCCTCCCCCTCCTCCCTCTCTCCCCCCATCCTCTCTCCTCCCTCCCTCCTCCTCCTCCCTTCTCCCTCCTCTCTCTCCCCCCCCCCCTCCCTCCTCCCTCCCCTCCTCCCCCCTCTCCCCTCCTCCCTCCTCTCGCCTCCCTCCCCCTTCCCCACTCCCCCCCTCCCCCCCAGGATGCGCCGCCCGTGCGCGCGGGGGCGAGACATGGCCGACTCTAGAGACCGAAATTTCCCGCAAAAACGTCGGCGTCTTGCCTCTGCTTCCGCTGTCGGGGCTGCCGCCGTTCTGCCTCCGCTGCCCTCCGCGAGGCGAGACGCGCCTTGGGCGTTTTTTTCGGCGGCGGAGCGACGGGGGGAAGTGAGAAGGAGAAGGCGTTCTCAGAAGGCGGCGGGGTTCTCTCGGGGAGCAGTCTCCCACCTGTTCTCGCGCGATGGACTTCGTGCCTCTGTCTCGCGCGCGTGCGCAGGTCGACCAAGAATTCTGCGTTGGGGGATCTACTCCAGAGTTCGTAATAAAAGGGAGGGGGTCTGGACCCTCCAAGACAAGCCATTTCAGACCCCCCCCGTGGGAGAACCCTCCAAAACATCGTCCCCAGACCCCCCCAGGCCCTCCAAGACAGCCTGGAAGAGACCCCCCCCGAAATGAGACCCCCCCTCCCTTTATTACGAAATCTGGAGTACCTGGCCGAAGCGGAAGGCCGTCTCTCCGGTGACTCGCCCCGTGCGAGCGCAGCGTTCTCGGGGCCCTGGGCTGTCCGACCATGGCCTCTCGCCCCGTGCGGGCCTCGCAGAAGGTGGGGGCTCGCCCGCGCGTCTCCTCGAGTCTGCTGCCGCCCGGCGGCGCCGCCTTTTGGGCGCGGCTTAATGGGGGGGTCACAAATGGGGGGGTCAGAAAAGGTCCCCTTTCGTGCCCCTTTCGGGCCCCTCCAGAGCCCCAGGGGGCTCGTTTAGGTACCATTTGGGTACCTTTTCGGACCACACCCGCCGCGCCCCCCATTTATGATCCCCCCATTGCGTGACGCCCAAGCCTTCTCCTTCCTGGTCCGGCCGGCAGCCGTTGGGGGGCTCCGCGGGGGGGCAAAGTTGGCCAGCGCGTTAGGACAACCCTCCCCGAAATCCTGGAATGCCTCGAGGAGCGGTTGACTTGGCCGGGGAGGTTCGCGGCGAGGCTGAGGCCCCAGCGCGAACCGAGACCGATGGGGGGCATTGGAGCTTGGCTGCGGGCGCTTCTCTTCCTGCAGGGGCCAGTCCCGTCTATCGGTGCATCTGAAAGCCGAGAAGCAAGTTTGGGTTGGGCATTTCCACAAGAAGGGCGTCACTGGGAACGCCCCAAAGCGCATGATACCCGCTCGCGAAAAGACATGGCAGTCGCGGCGGCCCCCCTCAGCCCTCGGCAGAGCCGCGCCCTCGATGCGGGCCTGAACGAGATGCGTTCGCTGGCAGCTGTCGCTCTAGAGGGGCGCCCGCCCTTGGAGGTTCAAGATGCGGCCCGTGCCTGCGCCTGTCTCTCGGCCTCGCCATCTGTGGGAGTGGATTTGCGGCCGCCGCGTTCTCCGCGATTCTCTGGAAGTCCTCGCTGGATTGTTCAGGATGGCCGATAATCATTTTTGTTTTCCTCCGCAAGGTTAACTTTGCATCGATGCTATGCTTCCCGCGTCGATTTCCGCTGAGAGGGCGACAGTCAAGTGCCCCAGCGTCGATTGTGTCTACGGCAAGGCGCGGTGATTTGTCATTGATGATTGGAACAGAGAGTATATCATTTTTCCGGGGGGTTCTGCAATCAAAAGGGACATCTGCGGTGAGAGCTGCCCTTCTCCTGTGAACTGTCGCGCGAAGTTGCTCATTCCCCGGATTTTTCGGCTGCGTCCTCGCATTGAGACCGCGGGGTCGGTTCGGCCAGCCCTGGGAAATTGGCCCCCTCCCTCGGCCTTCGGGCGAAGTTGCCCTGTATCCGGGGCTCCTCATTCACGCTTCTCCGAGGCGCTCAGAAGTCTCCTCCTCCTCCTCCTCCTCCTCCTCCTCCTCCCATAGCTGGCCTCCAGAAGCGGAGGCCCACGACTGAAAAGGGCGCTCGCGGGGTCGGCGGCTGCACCTTCATCGGCCAAGGATGCACGACCCGCGATGGCAGGGTCGGGCAACAAAGGGTCCGCTGGACATGCCCGGCATCGGTGCAAGGAAGGTTCCATGGCATCATATTAGGAGGCACTTTTCTTCGCGACCCTACTTCTCATCCTCCTCCTCCTCCTCCTTGTCCTCTAGCCTCTCTCCTCCTCCTCCGTCTCCGCCTCCTCCTCCTCCTCATCCTCCTCCATCCCCTCCTCCTCCTCCTCCTCCTCTCCTCCTCCTCCTCCTCTCATCATCATCATCATCATCATCATCATCATCATCATCCTAAAACCTGTTCCCTCTTCTCCTCCGCCTCCCCCTCGTCCTCCTGTTTCCTCCTCCTCCTCCTCCTCACCCTCCTCCTCCTCCTCCTCTTCCTCCTCCTCCTCCTCTTCCTCCCCCTCCGCCTCTTGAATCTCCCCTGCTCCTCCTCATCCTCCTGAGCGGCGCTCGGTGGGCGTGGTCCTGGCGGCGCTGGCCGCCGCTGCACTCGCGGCGCCGCCGGCCGCCTGGTACTCGCCCACTGCGCGCTGGCGCTCCATGTTGCGCTTCTGCACGAGCAGCTCGCGGGTCCTCTGGGATGCCCGGCCGCCGACGGCCATACTCGCCCTCGTCCTCGTCCTCTTCCTCCTCCAGTTCCTCCCCCACTGCCTGTCCTTCTCTTCCATATTCTTCATCTTCATCATATGATTCTTTTTTATTGGTATGATGATTAATACGATTACTCTTATGTTTCGTATTCGAAGCATTTTTTGTTTTCTGACTAACGATACGATGGCTAGAAATATGTTTTCGTTTTCCGTATAAAAACTTATGCTGCTCATTTCAGTCCAAAACTATTGTCGGTATTTTTACTTATGCCCGACTTCGTGGTCCCCAACACTAGCAGTTTAAGTTGTGCAGTATATGTGCTGCAGTCAATGAGGTAACTCACCAGTGTTCAACTTGAAAATGTCATCTCCACTGCTGCTCGCGCAGCCATCCCACCCACCCAGCCGCAACTTGCAAAACGCATGCAGCGGCAATTGCGACGAGCGCTTGGTGTTGGCTCGTGCATCTTTGCGGCCGCGCTGGCCCGCGCATGCACGCGCGCGCATGGGCCAGCTAGTTTTGCGCGACTGGCGCGGCCGCGGTGACCGCTGGGCACATCCCAAAAGGCACTTGAATGCGAGTCGGCCGCTTGGTCAGAAACGGTAGCATTGCAACGTCGATAACAGTAGACACGATGATGGTCATAGCGATGCTGGCGGCCAAACTGACAACGACGACGGCACGGCCAGTGACGGCGCCGATGCTGATCACGCCGACGACGATGACGGCGCCATCGCGTCGGCGATGAAGGTTTTGGAAGGCTTTCGACACGCGCGCGCGGCCGACGCGCGAGCGTGGCCGCATGGTATGATTTGATACGGATCGTGAGCCCCCAGCACGCGACCAAGGGCGTTCGAATGATTGTGACATGCGGCGCGAGAGGCCCGCTTGGTAGAATTCATGAACATGTTGAAACACTGGTGGTTTTGTTAAGGATTCGCAAGAACGCGAGCGCAAATTTTTGTTTGAATACTGATGCTGCGAAACTGATATGTTTACAGGGCACTCGATTTGAAAATCCGTCCAAAACCGGAGGTTTCTGAAGGATTTCGGCATGCGCGCGGGACGACGTGCGCGCGCGTGCACTTCGTCAAATTTGTTGCCCAGGGTTCTCGCGACAGCACGCGCGCAAGGGCGTTCGAATGACTTCGACATGCTCGCGCGCCAAGCCCCTTGGGCAGAGTTGTATGAAAGTGTTGAAAACGCAAGAGCGCGGGCGCAAGCTTTCTTTGAATATCCCTGCTGCGAAGCCATGAGTTTTCATGCGTTTTCGGGGCGCTCGATTTGAAATCCTTGCGAAGCCTGCGGTTTTCGAAATTCGGCATGCGCGCGCGACGACGCGCGCGTGCACTCCGTTTTTTTTGGGGGGGGCAAGGGGGTTCTTGACAAAGTATGGTTTTGATGAACCAGTGCGCGCGCGTGATGTTGTTTGACAGGGGTGACGGGAAGGGGGCCTATACCGGCCTGCCTGGGATGGCGCGACGTCATATTTAGGATGGACGGTGGGGCAGAGTCGCATGTAGATTGCACTGCGAAAAAGGTGGCGGATAACCCCGTGGGTGGGGGTGGGGGTCGGCTCTGATTTCTTTTGCAAAAAGAAAAAATGTGCGGGCAACCATCTGCGCGGAGCGATCTACGTGGCGCATTCTATCTAGCGCCATTCATCCAGCCGAACTTGCAGTTGCCAGCTCCACTGCTCGCGCCGTCACCTGACAAAACCTGCCCGCAAATTGGTTTGCAAAACCCATGCGGCGGCCGCGCTAGCGCGCGCGGGCTCGCGCGCATAGCGGCCAGCTAGTATGGCGCGACCGACGCGGCCGCGGTGGCGCTGACCGCTGGGCTCTTCCCAGAGCGCCTCGCAGGCCGCGACGACGCGCAAGCGTCCCAGTGCGGGTCGGCGGCTCAGGCGGGAGCGGTGCTATTGCGACGCCGGCGTTGGCAGACGCGACGATGGTAGCAGCGATGCTGATGGCGACGATGACAATGGCGACGGCGAAGCCAATAGCGGTTCCGATGCTGATCGCGCCGATGACGATGATGGTTTCCACGTGTCGGGGATGCAGGTCTCTCAGAGATGACGGCGCGCGCGCGGCCGACGCTCGCGAGCGGCCCTCGCGCTGTTAGTTGATGGGGGTCGCCCGCCCCCAGCGCGCGCGCAAGGGCGTTCGAATGACTCCTATGCATGTGTTGGGGGCGCTCGCTTCTGGCATCCTTGCGAAAGCGACGATTTTACATTCTTTTGGCTTTGGCGCGCGACGACGTGCGGGCTTGCGCGTCGTCCAACTTTCTGCAGGGGACTCTTGCGCGTGAATGATTTTTGATAGACGAATGCGCGCGCGCAAAATCATTTGACGAAGAGGGGGGGGGAGGTCGAAGCCGGCTTGGCCGAGGTGGCGTGACTCCATATTTCGAATGAGCGACGGGGCAGAATCATATGTGCATCGCGCATCCCAAAGGGGGGTCGATAATCCTGGCCGCGGAGGGGTGGTAGATCCTGTTTCCGTTTTGGACAGGAGGCTCTGTGTTGTGTAACCTGTATTGTGCAATATATGTTGTGCAAGCTGCAATGTGCAACCTATTTGATGCAATCTAAGTGGCGTGATCTATGCTGCGCAAGATATGTTGTGCAAATTCTTCTATGTTGTGCAACTGGCGCGTGGAACTCGCAGCCGACGACTCCATTGCTCGCGCGGTCGTCCCGCCCGCCCGCCCGCAAGTTGTCTTGCAAAACCAGAAAAAGGCGGAGATGGCGATGGGTGCTTGGCGTTGGCTCGTGCATCTCTGCGGCGGCGCCAGCTCGAGCGTGCTCGCGCGCGCAGCGGTGGCCCTGACCTCTGGGCACTTCCCAGCGGGCGCATCAGTGCCTGTCGGCCGCTCGGGCGGGCGCGGCATCGCGGCGACGTCGACATCGGTGGACGCGGTCGTGGTAGTGGCGACGCTGGCGACGATATCAGAGAAACTATGGATTTAGTTTGTGTCGGGGTTTCGGTTTTCTGCTATGCCTGGCGGCCCATAGGGGCCAGACGGATCGCGAGGAGGCGGAGGAGGAGGAGGAGGAGGAGGAGGAGGAGGAGGAGGAGGAGGAGGAGGAGGAGGAGGGGCCATCTGTGGTGGCGCGGCGACGGCGCGGTTAGTGTCGGCGCCGATGCTGATCACGCCGGCGACGATAACGGCGCCCTCGCGTGGGCGATGAAGGTTTTGGAAGGAGTTCGACGCGCACGCGCGGCCGACGCGCGATAATGGCCCGCATGGTATTATTTGACGCGGATCGTGGCCCCCTGGCACGCGCGCAAGGGCGTTCGAATGATTGTGACATGCTGCGCGAACGGCCTGCGCGGCAGAATTGGGCGCGCGTGGTGCACAACGATGGTTTGTTTAGGATTCGCAAGAGCGCGAGCGCAAGTTTTTTTGGGGGGAGGATGGCTGGCGTTGCTAAACCATGTGTTTCTACGTGTTCATGGAGCGCTCGAGTTTGAAATCCATGCGACACGAACGGTTTGTGCAGGATTTCGGCTTGCGCGACGGCGCACGCGCGCGTGCACTTCGCCGTGTTGTTTGCGAGGGGCCCTTGCGACAGCGCGCGCGCGTGAATGCGTTCGACCGATTCAGACATGCGCGCGCGAGAGGCCTTCTTGGTAGCATGGTTTGAGAATCGTGAACAACCTATGGTTTTCTCAAGAATTCACAAGAGAGCGAACGGAAACATTTGTCGTGGAAAATCCTGTTGCAAGACGTGTGTTTCTATATGTCTACAGGGCGATCGACTTTGAACATCCGCACGAAAACAACGGTTTTCGAACAACTTCCGGCACGCGCGCGCGACGACGCGGGCGCGTGCACTTCGTCGCTGTTCTGCTGCAAGGGACTTTTGAAAACGGATGATTTTTGATAAGCGAATGCGCGCGCATTAAATTCTCCTGTATGTGCGGGGGGAGGGGGCGATGCTGGCCTCGCTGGGATGGTGCGACTTCATGTCTCTGATGGGCGATGGGGCAGAACCACGTGCAACTTGCAATGCGAAGCGGGGGGGCGGTTGAATCGGGGGATCGGGGGTCCGAATAATAGTGTAGGAACGAGATTATATGCTTCGCACTTGATTTGGTACAAATGAGTTGACACCTTTCATGCCTTTGCAAACGCCCCGCCCAATCACCCGCAACTTGGTTTGTAAGACCCATGCGGCGGCGATTGCGATGAGTGCTTGGCTTTGGCTGGTGATTTCTGCAGCCGCGCCAGCGCGCGCGGGCTCGCTCGCGCAGCGGCCGGCTAGTTTGGCGCGACCGACGCGGTCGCGGTGGCGCTGACCGCTGGGCACTCCCTCGCGGGCGATTCAGTGCGAGTCGGTGACTTGGGCGGGCGCGGTATCAGTGCGACGCCGACAGCGGTTGGCGCGATTCTGAGAGTGGCGATGATGGTGACGACGGTGGCGATGACGACGGCGAAGCCGATGACGGCGCCGACGTTGATCACGCCCGCCGATTACGATGACGATGTCCTCGCGTCGGCGATGAAGGTTTTTGAAATAGTTCGACATGCGCGCGCGGCCCGCAGCGCGCGCGCAAGGGCGTTCGAATGAGTTCGCCATGCGGCGCGAGAAGCCCGTTTGGCAGAATGTGATGAACATGTTGAAGAACCAATGATTTTCTTAAACCTCCGCAAGGCCGCGAACGTATTTTTCCGAACGCCGACGTTTTAAAACCATGTCATATATGTATACTGTTTTGTAGGGGCGCTCGTTTTTAAACTCACCTTTGCGAAACTCATGGTTTTTGACAGATTCTGGCATGCGCGCGGCGACGTGCTCGTGTGCACTTCGCCTTTTATTTGCAAGGAGTTCTTGGGACAGCACGCGCGCAAAGGGCGCTCGAACGATGTCGACGCGCGCGCGAGAGGCCCGCTTGGTAGCATTTTATGAACACCTTGAGAAACCTTTTTTTTCTTGTTGTTTCTTTTCTTTCCTGGGGAATTCGCAAGAGCGCGGG